GAAGGAAGGAAGGAAGGAAGGAAGGAAGGAAGGAAGGAAGGAAGGAAGGAAGGAAGGAAGGAAGGAAGGAAGGAAGGAAGGAAGGAAGGAAGGAAGGGAAAGAAAGAATGCCCATAGGTAGAAAGGTGATACCAGCTATGGTTTTTGTAATTCCTTCCAGGGTGTGTGTTCTTTCCTGAATCGCTCACTTGGTCCTCTCCATCAGCTGAGCTCTTTCTCCCCCTTCCCCCTCCAATTTTATCTTTCCTTCATATCTATAGAAAATGAGGGTGAAAATGATAGCTAGCAGCTGGAATGGGAGTAGCTTCAAATAGAGGTTACAGAAGCTTGTTGTCAGGATCATATAAGATAAGTTGTGTAAATCTAAACATAAATGTCAGCAATTATTATCCTAACTGGAACACACTTCTATTTGGAAGAGATTAGAAAAAGGAGTAATTTCTCATGTCACTAGAGAAAACTAAATAGTCAACCTCCAGTTCTCCAGTGGCAGCAAGTTGGCAATGAAGACCCAAAATGATATGACAGGGGTAATCAGAGAAATTGTTCAAGACTGATGGGGTTTGGGAAGGCAGGTATATTGATGCACTATTATGGACCTATGAAATAGGCCAACCATCCTGGACAGTAACTGAAACATCACCTATTTCTGATTGAGAGGAGAAGTTGAATGTCAAAGAATTGATTTTGTCTATTTGAAATTCCAAAACACCTGCCTGGAATTAAGAGAACCTGAGTTCAAATCCAGACTCAGTTACTTAACTAGCTGTATGATCCTGGGCAAGTCACTTAACTCCAATTGCCTCCAAAAAAGAAGGGAAGGGAGAAAAAAAAAAGAAATTCCAAAGCAGCTTCAGATTAGTAGAAATGGCTGGAAGAATTGTTTAAGGCTCTGAGAGACTGGATAATTTCTCTAAGGTTCCATAGTCAGAAAGTATTAAAGGCAGAGCTTGATCCCATCTGTTCCTTGAAGCTAGGGGGCAGAATGGATAGAATGCTGGATTTGGAGCCAGGAAGCCCTGAATTCTTATCCTGCCTTACATGCTCACTAGCTGGGTGACTTTGGTCAAGTCATTCCAACCTTTCTGAGATTCATTTCCTCATCTTTTAGACTCAGTGGCCCCTAAGTTACCTTCCAGCTGTAAATGTAGGATTTTATGGTCCTAAGCTAAGCCCCCAGACACACATCCCCTTGGCTTTATCTTTTCATGTCCTTTACTTAACCCAGACACAAGCAGAACAATGTAATCTGTAGAAGGAACAGTGCTCAGCTATCTTGAAGTCTGGCACAACTGAAAACATTGTTAAAAGCTGGAGAATCCAAGCTATGAAGCTCCAAGCAGTTTAACCTGAATTGGTTTTCCAAACCAATACTAGAGTTGTACTTTCTGTTTCTTTGTCTGTTTCTGTCTCTGTCTCTCTCTCTCTGTCTCTTCTCTCTCTCTCTCTCTCTCTCTCTCTCTCTCTCTCTCTCTCTCTCTCTCCCTGTCTTCCTCCCTCCTTCCCTCTCTCTGTCCCTCTCTCTGTCTCTGTCTCTCTCTGTCTCTGTCTCTGTTTGTCTGTCTGTCTGTCTCTCTTTCCCTCTCTCTCTCCCCACCCCCTCCCTCCTGCCTGCCCTCTGGATGTAAGGACCCATCTCACTTTTGAGCAGCTCATTTCCTCCCAGCTTGTAGCAATTTCTCCCTGAATTTCCTGCCAACTGCTTCACAGGCAAAACATGTTTGATGCAAAACAATGGATCACTTTGGGATAAATCAAACCCTTAATAAAGCCCGGCTGCACTTGGGCAAGGCATTCTGCTTCTGACGGCCTCTCATGGGTGCCAAATTATTGAAGGGGGGGATTAAAAAGGTGGGCCTTCAGTCTGTGAAAGGAGCAGACAGATGGAAAACATGTTTTCTATAAGGCCAGATTACCTCCATGGAGGCCTCATGGTCTTTTCCCATGCAGTCCCTCTGAAATGCCTGGAGTTGGATTTGAGACTAGAGGTTGGCAAAAGTTCAGAGTAGACCTATGTTTGGAAGAAATGAGAGATCTATTTTGCCCAGAACCTCACACTTTCCTTGGAGGGGTGCCATGGCCGCCCACACACCCTTGTCTTTTTCCAGTTCCTGTAGAGAGAAAGAAAATGAGAGGGAGGTAGAGATGGAGGGAAGGAAGAAAGGTAGGAAGGGAAGGGTAAGAAGAAAATTAAGAAAGGAAAGGAAAGGAAGAGAAGGGCAAGGGCAAGGGGAAAAGAAGGCAAGGCTTGGAAAGGGAAGGCACTCTACTAGGTGCTATCGCTGGGCATACAATGACAAAAATGAAATTGTCTCTACCCTCAAGGAGCTTACAGCTGATCAACCATTCCAATGTACATTTTGTATTTGCTTTTCTGTGTACAAGTCATATTTCTACCAGTAGAGTGTATGCGCCTTGAGGGCAGGGACTTGAATTCCTACCTCTTAGAATCCCTAGCTTCATATAAAGCTTAACTCAAGCTTCATGGAATGCCTTTCCTTTCACCTTTCCTGACACCCCAAGATCTAGTGTCTCTCTCTATACAAATGACTTCTTATTTGTTTCATATATATTTATAACAGTGTATCTTATTTCTGGTTAGAATGTAAGTGTCTTGAGGTCAGGAAGTATTCTGTTTTTGCTTTTTTTGTTTGTTTGTTTGTTTGTTGTTAGCACCCATCCCAGTTCCTGACAAATGGAAGGCATTTAATTAGTGGTTATAAATTAACTGATTGATTGAGAGGCAACATGGATTAATGAGTGAATACAGAAGTGGCCTCTAAGTCACAAAGACCTGGATGTGGTCAGGAAATCAAACTTCAGAACAAATCCCTTTAATAAAAGGATTTGTTCTGTAAAACTTCAGTCAAAAGGCCACACTCAAGGACCTAGAAGGCCGCAAATTCCCCGCCCCAACCTGGATTCAAGTCCTATCTATAACATATAACCCCGGGCAAGTCACTTAACCCATTAGTGCCCCAGGCAACTCTGAATCTGTAAGTTAAAGACTACCAGGTATAATGGGAATTTCTTTCTACACCAATAAAACAGAAAGTTTGTCAAAAAAATTACATAAAAATCTTTTAGAATCAAGGGGCAGCTAGGTGATGCAGAGGATAGAGCACTGGCCCTGAAGTCCGGAGGACCTGAGTTCAAATCTGGCCTCAGACCAAACACTTGACACTTACTAGCTGTGTGACCCTGGGCAAGTCACTTAACCCCGATTGCCTAAAAAAAAACCTTTTAGAATCAAGCTCTGGAGTTGAAAAGAACTTTGGAGGTCATTGAGTCCAACCCTCTCATTTTACAGGTAAACTGAGGCATGGAGAGGTTGAGTAATTTGTCCAGGGTCACATAGCTAGTAAGTGTCGAAGCCATTATTATGTTGGTGAAGGTTTGGCTAGAAAGACAAGTTGTAGTTATGTTTCCATTAGCCACATGCTCTACCCCATGCTCTACCCCATTTCACCCTTGGGTGGTCTTGACCTTCCACCTTCTGTCTCCCATGGGCCTATGTTCTCTGATCAAGATCAAGTTTCTGGACTTATCTTTCCACTCTTCTCTTACCCAACTTACTTTGGTAGCTAGAATGTACCTCATCGTCCAGGCTAAGGAATCATTAGTTAGTAGGCCATGAGATTCACCCTCCTCTTTTCCTTATACCCATTTGCATTTTCAGAGGGGCTAACATCCTTATGATTCTGGCTTCAGCTCTTGGCTTAGAAGGTATATGCTTTTGGGTAGGGAAGGAAGGGAACCCCTTAAATCATGCCCATACAGTCAAAACCAAATTTATCTAGGCTTGTACGGAGGACTCCACTTTGGATATAACATCTTGTCAGTGAAAGAAGACAAGGCCACTTTATTCCAAAGGTTTTTTGGTAGGGCTGAGAACTCTTTTGGGGATTCCAGACAGCCTCTGTTCCCCCCTTTCCATGAGTCCACCAAGCTCTTGATAGGTCACAGAATCCTGGTACTCAGCACCTGGAAAGTACATTAGAGACCACGTAATCCAGCCCCCTTATTGCATAGATGAGGCCTAGAGAAGGGAGGTGATATGGTATCATAGATAGAGAATTGGGAAGGACCTCAGAGCCCATCTAGTCCAACACCTTTGTTTATAGATGAGGTAACTGGTGCCTGAAGAAGGGCACCAATGCTCTCAAGGTCAAATAGCTAATGGAAGAGGCAAGACTTGAACCCAGGCCTTCTGATTGTACTATACTAGGTTGCCTCCCTCAGGACTAAGTCCCTTAAATTCTCCGTATTTCTCACAGCTTCATAAATTAGATTCCAAGAAGGATCTTAAAACCATGGATTTGGACCTGGAAAGGAAGAAAGAGGGTATTTATCCCAATCCCTTTATTTTGTAATTTCCTAATTAAGGAGAAGATTAGGTAAGGTGGCCTCTTAGAGTCTTCTACCTCTAAAGCTAGGAGCTACAAATATTTTAACATCTCCATGTTTGAGTTTCCCAATTAGTATAATGAGGAGGTTGGACTAGATGACCTGTGAGGGGTCCCTTGCTGATATAAATCTATGATTTTTAAATCATCAAGCTCTATGTGCCTCAGTTTCCCTAGCTGTAAAATCAGTGGATTAGATGACCTATGAGCTCTCTTGAAGCTCTATGAACCTACCTATGAGGAAATGAGTGCTACAGAATTGAAGTAATTTGTCCAAAATCACCAGGATTGATAGAATTGATAGATAATTGATAGAACCAGGATTTGGACCCAGAAATTCTGACTCCAAATCCAGCATGTTTTCCACTGTATTACCCAGTAACACCAACAACTAGCAAGAGAAAACTCATTGTATCCTGCAGCTCAAGCTGAAATTTGGCATCTGGCCATGTCCTCACTCCAGCTGTTTTTAATCAGCTTCAGACACTAGGACATATACATTCATCGAATAAAGAACTCGTAGTTAAGGACAGTTTTTCATTTTCATCCTGCTGATAATTTCACATAAGGAGGAAAAGGGAAGAAAAAAAAACCCGTTAAGCATCCACCAAGGTCATAACCCTCCGATGTCTGAGGACACGACCGCAAGCTACAGACTTTGAGGCCAGAGAATTTAAAAGATTACCAGAAGAACTAATTAGAAGAATTCTCTTTAAGCTCTCCCAGCCTGTTTCACTCAGGTTAATGGAGAAGGCATAGCTTGGGTTCTGGACAATGGGAGGAAGTCCGGAGCTTCTCGGCATGACACCATTCAAGTGAGCCGCGTCTGAGTAAACAACTGATTTCACTAATCTCTGAGGCCTCTCTCTGGTGTCTTATAAGCACAAGCTTAAACACAGAATTGGAGTCTTCAGCTGAGCTCCCTTATGAAATGTGATGCTTGCTGTAGGCCTGGAAGGAGCATGGAACTGAGTAAGTGGGATTTATGATCCAGGATTGTGCTCAAGCTTTTTTCAATTAGACAATTCTTCTCTCGACTTCTTTTGTCCCGTGTTTATGAGAGTGTTCTTTTAGTCACTAATGACCTAAACAATCCCTCTGCCCCACTCCCAACCACCAACTAATTATTTAAGGGATGTATTACTAGTCTTCAGGTGGTTAGTGTTCTTTACTCCAGTTCTTTGCAAGTAATTAAAAGTGGCTTGAACATAGTAGGCTTTCAATAAATGTTGGTTGAATTGAAATGAATTTTGCTAGGATTGACTCCTAGTTTCCTCTTGAGTTTAGGGGGTATGGAGATTGTTGGACTGGTAGAATTGGGGGCACACCTTCTCAAAAGTGTCTTCTTTTTGAGCATCAGACATTGCAGGTATACTGTTTTCTGCCTTACAGTCATAGAACTTAAGTTTCCTTTCCAATTTCAATCTAATATAATCAATCAAGCATTTATTAAGTGCCTACTGTGGGCTAGACACTATGACAGACATTGAAGATATGAATACAAAATGAAAAACAGTCACTGGCCTCAAGGAACCTGTGTTCCATTAAAAAAGATTTAAAAAAAAATTCACAGTATTATAGGCAACTTTCTAATGAGACAATATTTGCAAAGTATTTATTACAATGGCTGGCACATAGGAGGTACTTAATAAATGGTTATTCTAGTCTCTATTCCCTAAATTGCTGAGAAAGTGCCAACTAGCTTTGGTAGAGGGAATTTTCTCATCTGGGAGTTCCATAGTTATAAAATCATGGGTCCAGTTCCCATCTTTTATATTTACGTGTATAACATTGTTTATTATATTTAGTAAACATAGTAAGTTACTCCAAAATTCTTCTTTGTCCTATGCACTGGTCTCCATTAAGATGAGATTTAATAGAGATAAATATAAAATATTACATGTGGGCTCAAAAGCTCAACTTCGTAAGGACAAGATGGGAGGAAAGAGTATGGCTAGATAGCATTTCACCTAAAAAAAAATCTGAGGGTTTTAGTGAATTGTAAGCTCAATATGAGTCAGCATTTGTGTTATGACAGACAAGAATGCTAAAGTAATGTAGACTGCATTGAGAAAAACCTAGTCCCCAAGACTACAGAGGATCCCCTAATCCCACCGTACTCTGCCCTAATTAGACCAGACATGTAGCACTATGTTCAGTAATTTAGGAAATACTTTGACAGAGAGAGCATCTAGGGGATGGTGACCAGGATGGTGGAGGCCCTTGAGATTGTGCCATGTGATAATAGTGCTAGCATTTACATTAAATGACTCTTTAAAGTTCACCAAGTATTTTAGAAATATTATATCATTTGATTCTAACAACACCTGGAGACATAGGTGCTCTCATGGCCCCCATTTTACAGATGAGGAAACTGAGGTAGACAGTGGTTATGATTTGCCCCAGGGTTACACAGCTATTAAGGATCTAAAGCCAAATTTGAACTCAGGTCTTCCTGATTTCAGGTCAGCTAGGTGGCACAGTGGATAGAGTGCCAGGCTTGGAGTCAGGAAGACTCGTTTTTGTGAGTTCAAATGTGGCCTCAGACACTTAGCTGTGTGACCCTGGGCAGGTCACTTCACCCTGTTTGCCTCAGTTTCCTCATCTGTCAAATAAGCTGGAGAGGGAAATGGCAAACCACTCCAATATCTTTGCCAAGAAAACCCCAAATGGGGTCACAAAGAATCAGACACCACTGAAAACAACCCAGCAACAAACCTTCCTGATCTAGTGCATATCCATCTTACCACCTAGCTGCCATATGAGGATTGTTTGAAGGCATTAGGGATATTTAGCTTGGCAGGACATGATAGCTATCTTCAAATATCTGAAGAGCTTTCAAGAGGAAGAGGGATTAGCTTTATTCTAATTGGCCTCAGAGAGCAAAATTAGAAGAAAGTAGTAAAAGCTACAAAAAGATGGATTTCATCTCCATATGTGGATGGAAAGCATTCCAGTGAATTATGGTAAGACATGATAATTGTCTTTAAAAATCTGAAAGGCTATCATGAGAAAGAAGAATCTACTTGTTCTCCTTGTCTCCAGAGGGCAAAACTAGAAGGAGTGGATGAAAACTACAGGGAAATAGCTTTAATCTCCATAGGTGGAGAAATCAACCATGACAATACCAATAAAAATTCAGAGCTGTCCAAAACCGGAGAGTATTGACTCAAGAGGTGATGATGGGTTTCCCTTCACTGGAGGACTTTAGGCAAACATTGGATAACCACTTTCCACATATGTCATAAGGAGATTCCCATTCAGAGGTGGACTGCATTTGATGACCACTAAAGTTCCTTCCAATTTCCAGATTCCATGATTCTTTAGATTTTTATTGAAGGTTTTCTTTTAGGGATAGCATCCAATTGCAAAAGGCTCTGATATGTTGGATAAGGCAGAATATGTTTGTGCTACCTTCCTTAGTAAAGCCCTGAACTTTTCCCATTGAAAGTTAGGAGGCCTGGGTCATCCTAGTCCCAATTATATTACTGAATCACTGTGTTTATGGTCTTAAACAAGTCACTTGACTATTTCCATGATTCCATTCTTCTCTGTAAAGTATTTACTCTTTCAAGTCTTATTTTTAACACAAAACCTGGCACATAGTAGGTGCTCAGTAAATGCTTCTTGATTAATTCCAAGGACCTGGATTAAAATCCTGTCTTTGATGTTTGTTGTTTATGTGACTTTACACAAGGCAGTTAACTTCCCTGGGTCTCAGTTTCCTCGTTTGTAAAACGATCAGATTGGAGTAGATGACCTCTGATTACATACTCTCTATGATTGACTCAGTTGATAAGCATCGTTAAAAAACAACCTCATTATCTCCTTTTCATCCTTTTACCTATATAATGGGGTGACAAAAACACTGAATTTCAGAGTTAGAAGGGAAACATCCATTTAGTCTAATCCACATCTCAAAGGAATTCCTGACTTTAACACAGCTGACAAGTGGTCGTCCGGGCTGTGCTGAAGACTATTAGTGTGGGAGAAACTTATTGCCTCCTGAGGCAGCCTTTTCCAACACTTTTGGACAGCCCCAATGATTAGGAAATTTCCCATGACATCAAGCCTACATTTGCCCTTTTACAGCTTTCATCCACTGCTCATTTCAATTCTTTAATTTATCCTTTGTATCTGCCTCCCCCACCCCCCACTCGGAACATCAGGCCCATTCCCCAAGGAATGCACTCAAAATGTCAGCAGAAGAATGAATGATAACAGAGACATTCCCTAAGGTTCTAGCTTCCATCCTCTGCTCTCCTCTTACTGAACTTTCTCCCCCTGAGAGATCCCTTGGCATGAAACAGCTACTCTATGTGGAAAGCTTCCTAAACTCTTTCTCAAGCTCCAGACCCAGATTTCCAAATGCTTCATGGACATTTCCCTTTGGATGGCCCAGGCCACTCTGGATTTGATGTATCTTCCACTTCCTGTTATGTGTCTTGTATGAACCTCTTTATGTCCATGTCTCTCTCATTAGAAAGTAAGCTCAGGGTTTATTTTTTTAAATTTTTCTTTGTATGGCACATAATAGACATGGGGACTTATTGATCTGTTGGTCTAAAACTGAGTTCAGTCTCTTTTCTCCAAGCCTGCTTCTCTGTTTCTTTTATTTCATCCAGCAATATGGCCTGCACTTCTAGCCTTCTCTGTTGGCGCAAGCCACCACCTTTTAGTCTCTCTTCTCCTAGGAGTAATGAGAGTCTTAATGTTTCTTCATTTCTTCTCTCCAATTTGTGTTAAAAGACTTTCAAAGGGACATCTTTTTCCTCAGTTTCCTCCTTTTAAAATGGGGATAATAATAGCTCCCTCTCAGGGTTGTTGTGAGGTTCAAATTAGACATTTGTAAAGTGCTTTTAGCACAGTGCCTGGCACACAGTAGGTGCTATATAAATCATCATCATCATAATTATTTGGCTATCACTAGAACTCAGATGTATAGACTATTCTTTATAGGATCATAGAATTAGAGTTCCTTGTCTCTGCCTGTTTCCCTCTGCAAGTCTTATACTATTCCACAGGATTTTCCCTATCCCCTTGAATCTTGATCTTCCAGATTAAATCACAAGTGCCCTTCATAAGATTACAGATTTTGAGCTGGAAGGGACTTTGCAGGCCATTAAGTCCCCCTTCCTCCTCATTTTACAGATGAGGAAACTGGTGAACTATTTACTGTGTGAACCCATGAACCTATAGCATTTGGACTACAAGTCCAGGACATTATCAATTTCCCCATGATGCATTCTCTCCTCTTCCTGTCTTAGTTTTTCTTGCAGATTTTATACCTTTTCTCCACTCCTCCCCTGACTTCCATCCACCTCCATCTCATTCCCTATTTCTTCTCCAGACCAAACATTTTTCTCATCACCTTAAATGATTCACAATACAATCTGTCCTTATAAGTTTCTCAGAAACTAAAAAATACTTATGATTTAACATATGTTAACATAATTTTTTTCAACTTTTTATTAGACCCCATAATCACTCTTTAGAGAGAGAGGAATTTTTATATAGTTATCACATCCTAATAATTCAGAGGCATATAACACAAGAAAGAATATTGGACATGAAGTCAAAGGATCTGAGTTCAAATTCCACTTCTGATGATGATGACTTGTGTGATAATAAATCACAGCCTCCCTGGGATTCAGTTTCCACAGCTGTAAATTGAGAAGTTCAGAATAGATTACTTCTGAGATCCCTTCTACTCTAGTCTTATGATCCTGTTATCCCCACTGCCATCATCCTAGTTTGAGTTCTCAACTCATACAGGGACTGTTGCCATATCTACCTACCTATCCATCTATCTATCTATCTATCTATCTATCTATCTATCTATCTATCTATCTATCTATCTATATATATATCTACATATATATATACATACATATGTACACACATTTACATATATGTGTATATAGCTCTGTGTGTGTGTGTGTGTGTGTGTATAAGAATGAAGTTATAACCCC